TCCTGCCTCAGCCTCCTGAGTAGCTGGGATTACAGGCACGCGCCACCATGCCCAGCTAATTTTTTGTAGTTTTAGTAGAGACGGGGTTTCACCATGTTGACCAGGATGGTCTCGATCTGTTGACCTCGTGATCCACCCGCCTCGGCCTCCCAAAGTGCTGGGATTACAGGCTTGAGCCACCGCGCCCGGCTTGACTGATATTTTTAATAAATTTATTGATTTGTTTACTATCTTCTCTCTCCCCCAATTTTTTTTTTTTTAAAAGAGACAGGGTTTCACCTTGTTGGCCAGGCTGGTCTCGAACTCCTGACCTAAAGCAGTCCACCTGCCTCGGCTTCCCAAAGTGCTGGGATTACAGCCATGAGCCACCGCGTCCGGCCCGCCAGAATTTTTTATTACCAGTAAGAGTAAACCATTTTACATATTTATTGAGAATTTGAGTCCAAGCACTTTTCTTCTAAATTTATGCTCTGTTAAGGATATTAATTGCAAATAGTTGCAAGTAATAGCACCATTTTTTCTTAGCTTTTAGGTTTGTTGGAGTTTTTTGTTGTTGTTCCGATTCACTGCAACTTCCACTTCCCAAGTTCAATCAATTCTCCTACCTCAGCCTCCCAAGTAGCTGGGACTGGGTGCTGGCGCCTGTGCACCAGGTGCTGGTCTAATTTTGTATTTTTAGTAGAGCTGAGGTTTTGCCATTTTGGCCAGGCTGGTCTCAAACTCCCGACAAGTGACTGCCCACTTTGGCCTGCCAAAGTGCTGGGATTACAGGTGTAAGCCACCACACCTGGCTAGCTTTTAGCTGTATTTGTATTAACATTACAACTATAGAAGCCAAATTATAAGCAAGTTTGTTACAAGATCTTCAGTGGACTTTTTGGCCGGGCACGGTGGCTCACGCCTGTAATCCCAGCACTTTGGGAGGCCGAGGCGGGCGGATCATGAGGTCAAGAGATCGAGAGCATCCTGGCCAACATAGTGAAACCCCGTCTCTACTACAAATACAAAAAAAAATTAGCTGGGCGCGGTGGCGCGGACTTGTAGTCCCAGCTATTCGGGAGGCTGAGGCAGGAGAATTGCTTGAACCAAGGAGGCGGAGGTTGTGGTGAGCCGAGATTGCGCCATTGCACTCCAGCCTGGTGCCTGGTGACTGAGTGAGACTCTGTCTCAAAAAAAAAAAAAAGAAAAAGATCTTCAACAAGAACCCCCTAGATTTGCAAAATGCTATACATACTATACGTACAGCTCTTTAATAAACTTATCCTTATGTTTAATAAGTTCATAAAAATTTAGGACCAGAATTGAAAATTTTTTCAAATAAACAATATAGACTGGGCAAGCGAGGTGGTTCTCACCTGTAATCCCAACACTTTGGGAGACCGAGGCGGGTGGATCATGAAGTTAAGATATTGAGACCATCCTGGCCAACATGGTGAAACCCCGTCTCTACTAAAAAATAGAAAAATTACCTGGGCATGGGATTGTGTGCCTGTAGTCGCAGCTACTCAGGAAGCGGAGGCAGGAGAATCTCTTGAACCGAGAGGTGAAGGATACAGTGAGCAGAGATCGTGCCCCTGCACTCCAGCCTGGGTGACAAAGCAAGACTGCATCTCAAAAATATATATATATGTGTACATATATATATATA